TTGTTTTCTCCTCCACATTGTTCATCCAGCCTATCTTATTTATAGTGGCTTTTCTTCTATTTTCCACAAAAATCTTTGCATGATCATTAATTAGTTCTCAACTCAAGTGGACTACTTCCTTAGAAAAACCTCTATTGACCATCCACATTAAAATGATACGTTTCATGACATATAGTTACATCACATCACTATAGTTAATCTTATTGGGAGGTTGGTTTTTTTGAACTATTGCTAGTGTCTATTGTTGATATCCCTCTGAAATGTAATAAAAACTCTATATTGATTGACATTGAGCTATGAATAGATACAAATATTATGTAGTTTGTATTTACCATGTATTAGCCAAATAGTATAAAAAAACCTTTAAAAACTGGTTGCTCTCAGATCGATGCCAACTCATAGCAACCCTATAGAACCCTATAGGTAGACCTACCCCTGTGAGTCTCCAAGACTGTAACTCTTTACAAGAGTAGAAAGTCCCGTTTTTCTCCTGTGGAGTGACTGGTGGTTTCAAATTGCTGACCTTGTGGTTAGCAGCCCAATTCCTTAACCACTATGCCACCAGGGCTCCTAAATGGTATAAAGGACTATGTTCATAGTGTGAAGGTAAGAGGAGCACATCTGATTGAGGACTTCAAAGCATCAAATCATGTTTGTGAACCTTAATTTCCTAGCTTAACAAAGATTCTATTTAAGAATTATTTGTAAGGAAGTGAAAAACTTCAGTTTATCAATTTAGATTTGATTGATCAGAGATTCATGTGTTCACCTCACTTTTACTGTCTTTGTTAATGTTGAAGTAGAAGTAAGTTATATTTCTCTTGGGCCACTTAAAATATGCTCTAAGTTGTTACAACTGCAAGGTATTTTACCACTGAAAGTAGAGCTCGTTAGTGTTGATGAAATGTAAAGAAGACTGCTATATTGGCTATACTCCTTTAATACCCCTCACCCCAATTCTTTTAAATACTAAACCTGACTGGAATGTAACCCACTGCATTTTACATTCCCTTGTAAATCAGATGTGGTATTGTGTCGGTGGTCCTCAAGACAACCTTCAGGCTGTGTGATTTGCTAGAAGATCAAAGTCGCAGGAGACAGAATCCAGGAGAGATCCATGCACAAGCTTCCACTTGTCCTTTCCCAGTGGATTTTTATGAACAAGTCCTTAATCCTCCTAGTAAGAATGTGTAACAAATATGTGAAGTATTGCCAATCAAGGAAGCTCACCCAAGTCTTGATTTCCATGTTTTCCTTGGGGGTCAGTTTCACAGGCATGGGGTGCCCAGATGACTGACTCTACTTATTCAACCTCCAGGAGGTCAGACCAGACACATTGTGCCCAAGACTGTTAGTGGAAATCACATCATTAATACAAATCATCTGGCCGGGCCCAAGATGGCAGGTATTCAGAGACACTCTTATCAGGCAGGCCATTCCGAGGACTTAGGGTTTTCTCTCAGGAAGCAAATTAAGGGCCAGCTCTTTCTTTGGAATATACAGGATTGGAACGTCCCATAGCTGCCGAGTGAGTATTAGTCCATTGTGCTTTTGGTCAATTAGTTGTCCCAAATTCTTTTTTTCCCCTCATATATTTATTTATATTCTTGTCAATATAGTTCTTCTCTTTTATTGCCATGCTATATAATTGATGTTTAAAAATACTTAAAGGATTTTCTGAAAACATTTATCTTGATTTTGATTTAACATTCCTAGGATGTCAGGTTATTTT